GTCGGGGGAAGGAAGAGAGAGAGAGAGAGAGAGAAAGAAAAAAGAAAGAGGAGCGAATGTTATCGTGTTATCGCGAGTTACTCCTCTTTCTCCTCCTCTTCGTCGTCTCTAGATCTGTTTCCCGTTCAGCTGCACGTTCGCACGTTTCTTCCATCGAGAGCGAAACGAGCCGATTCCCAGAGGGGGATGAAAATCGCGGAATCGACGATTCTCGGGAGTCGAAGCCGACGAGACGTGGTGTCGCGTGGGTCCCGTGATTGATCTCAGCCGATGGCGAATGAGCGAACGTGCACTGAAGGGAATCCGCCTTTCTCATTCCTCTGCAAGTCACCCCCCCTTGAGAGTCACCACCCTCCAAGTTACGTGGAACGTCCGAGAAATTCTTCCTAGGCTGGACGTTCTCGCGGACCACATGATACGAAATTATTCATCCCCCCTCCCCCTCCCCTCTCCTCGCATCCCCCATTTCATTTGTGTTTCATGTGTAAAAAGAAAAAAATGAACGACGCGTCTGTAGAACGTAAACAAGGACGCCGATCTCTAGGACGAGGAACGAGGACTCTACTACGCGATTTACGTACGTTTCTGACTTCGTTTCACAACCTGCCTGTTTATTAGTCTAGTCGGTCGAGTGATCGGAGGATCTCTCTTTTCGGAAAGCTCTGCTTAGCTTTGCTACGAACGTAGCTATGTAGCGAATACCGCGAGCTGGTTAGAAAAAGAATAAACGTAGAATTAAATTAGCGGAGTTAGAATTAATTTTAATCGCGACAATAGAAGTGTCTCTATCGTCCGATCTCGCGCGGAGATTTCCCCGAGGATTTTTCTCGGGAAAGCTCCAAACGCGAGACAATCGAGTAGTTGATTGTTATCGACAGCTAAACTTTCTGTTCCGAAAACGAAGGAGGAAAGCTCCAAATTCGCGCGGCGCGTACGTGTCTAACTATTAACAATGGAAGTATCTCTCTTCCGATCTCGCGCGAAGAATTGGAGCTTCTCGAAGATTTGACGCGAGACACTCGAGTCATTCGTCATTATCGTGATAATTCCAATTTGTCCATTCCGCGAGATTGCTGCGCTTCGAGCTGTTTATTACAAAGTCGCAGCTTTTCGAGGGAAGAATCGAGTCAATATATTTTTTTTTCATTATTTTGAACCAAACGAGATACTTCCTGTAGAATTTTGGATACCGAAAACGATATCGCAAGCCAAATTTTTGCAGTACGTCAGGTTTCTAATCGAGGTTTGATGTGCAACACATGGCTTTTCTTGCGATTTGAAGATTTTTTTATAAAAAAAGTTAATGATGCATTTTGAAATTTTGATCAGAGGATATGGATGTATTGCTCCATTCCCTATAAAATGCATTTTTTTATTTTGCTATTTTTTTTTAGCTATGTCTTGAAGAATTTTAATGCAGAATTTTGCTAAAATAACAAAAGTTTGTGCTGTTTTAGCAAAACTCTGTATTAAAATTCTTCATAACAGTGAATAAAAAGTAAAATAAAGAAAGATATTTTACGGAGGATGAACAATACATACATAATTTTTTATTAGGATTTTCATTTTTTTTTTAAATTTTGAAATATCGTGAAAAAGCCATTTTTGCACGATAAGAACAGCATAAAAGCCATTTTTTTCTGAATATAGATGTGAAAAATAATTTTGTTGGGCCATCAAAATAATTATGTAAGACGTTCGAATTAGTTGCTAGAATATAAAAAGATTTTGCGGTATTATCATCATGTTTAAACGTCCTACATAATAACCTTGATCCCCCGGGAAAATTATTTTTCAGGTTTGTATCTGGCCACATTTTTAGATCTTACGTCACAATTATTCTTTCCGCATACCTCAATTATTTCGAAAACCTGACATGATGAAAAAAAATTTAGCCTACATTATTTTCAGCACCATTAGAGAGCACCTTATCTGATTCAAAATAATTTTTCGCTAATTATAAGCTAACACTAATGACGAAAATTAAGAATTCTGTTTTTTTTCTTTCTAAATGTCTTTCATATCGCTCGAAGGAACGTCCCTGCCTAAGCCTTTCGGAGGAAATTTTTTTTCGATATTTTCGATTTTCCTCTCGAATATATATCGTTATCGCGACTCACCCTTGCGACGCTTACATGTTACGTCGGGGAGAAGCGTAGTCTACTCGCCTTTCAAGTCTGACTCGCGCCGCTGATGCATCGATCCGCACCACCCTCTACCTGACTCTTTCCTCCACCGTAACTACCGTCGCCATACCTACTTACCCGCTTAGGCGTACCGCGCGAAAGATCGGCTGAACGACACGCCGTTTCTTCGCGACCTTCCTTCCCTCGTGTCTGGCCGTTTCTTTCCTTGGGACCAGAGCTAAGGTGGCGTTTACTTGGCAGCTTATCCTTGGCTGGTCACTATCAAGACTCGCTTTGATTTTCCGTTCCGCTAAAACCTTCGTAGAAAATGTAATTAAAAAGAAAACGAAAAATCTTGCATTTATCTTGTCGATATGAAATTGTAGTTTTTCTCCATTTTTTTCTTTCTTTTTTTTTTTTTAATTAATAATTGCGTACAAGATTGATTGAGATGTGTAATAGATTTGAGAGAACGCGTGTGAGTTGAGGATATAATTCTTCTAATTCTTCAATGGCAAAAGCTTACAATTGGACTCTCTCTGTGAATTTGTTATTCACCTTTGCGAGATGGATATATTTACTATTTTTTTCCTTTCAGTCTTTTTTTTTTTTTTAGAAATTCGCTACGAGCACGTGAACTCAAAGAAACTCGTGTTTGCATGTAAACAATTCTGTAATAGAGTACGTGTTTTCCTCATTTATACCGATTTTTTTTTTTTTTTTTTACCTATAATGGCACGTGAATTTTGTGTGAGAGATCGTGTATTACAAAGATAAAAATACAATGACGAAGGAAGCTCATGTAATTTGAATTGTGATATATTTACGTCGTAATAGCATGCAGAGATAATGCTATCAAAAATATTCTCTGACTTTACGGATTAGCGTACGTCGTATCGGAGTTTCAAGTCGTTGAAAAAAATATCCGAAAATTTTCTAGATGAAATAGAACTCACGATTCGTATTCATTTTATAACAAAATATTGTTAAGCTATAAAAATATGGGATTTATTTTCCAATTATTATTTTTTTTTTTTATTCTCCGCAGAATATCCGTTCTCATATTTCACATGTACTATATTGCAATTTACAAAGCAAAATATATTTTTTTTATTTAGCGGGAAATTTAGGACGTCCCCCTCTGCCCTCTCTATGTGATCGCAGTTTATGTTTGTTCTAGCTTTATGGTCAGCGTTAAAGTCCATAAGTAAGAAGTTAAATTTTTAAATATATGCACAAAGATGGGATCAAGCACTCTGCAAGCAATCTCGCAACATGTCTGCGATAAATGAATATTAGCGAAAAGATAAATGACTGTGGTACTGAAACATAATAAAGTATGTCGACATAAGTACTCTCGATGGAAGAGAGAGAGAGAGAGAGAGAGAAAGAGAGAGTATTCGTAAAAACCAACCATTTCAAAAGTAATATGCTCAAACACGAGCATAATGCATCCATGCGTCCTATCTTTAAAAGCGTTATGTAATGTTGACATAATATCACGAATGTGAAATATCTAAATGCACGTATTTCGCGTTTGCGAATAATCAGAATGTACGCTCGATGGCAAATTTAAACAAATTTGTGTTACGTGATGTAAAAATATTAATATCAAAGAGTGTCAAGAGAAATATATATTTTCTGAAGAAGTAAAGTCGCATTTGTTCATTCCCAAATGGAAGGGTGAGAAGTTTCATTGCGACACGACGAAATTTGTTTTTGACCGGAAGAGGAAACTGAAGATGGGGCGGGGGAGGGGGAGGTGTGGGAAAGGAGGAGTGGAAAATTAGTTCGAAGTGCAAAAACGATTTGACAAGTCCCCGTAACTTTCTGACAATGCGATCACCATTGTTACTACTTTCCTGGAACCTGGAACGGAAAGTATCGTAGCGACTTCCGGGCGATTCGACCGAAGATCGAAGTAATACAAACACGTACGATTCACGCTGTGTATCTTTCCCTCGTGTCTCGCTTATTTGCCTTCGTCTCGCTTAGTTTTTCAAAAGCGGGGAAAACTTTCTCGACGCAAATCGCTCCGTCTCTTTCCTCCGCATATATCTTCGTAGCGAATGAAACCCATCGGTGTATGTCTTCATCTATGTCCACCCGGTGACCCGGTAGCTTGTGCTATCAGTGTAAACTCGGTTACCGAGGAACGTTTTTTTCTTTATCTCGCGTGTTTTCGCAACGTATATCGCATCTGATTCTTGCGGCCTTCTTTTATCGCTACCGTGTTATCTTGGACAAAAATTGATTGGGCTTAGACTTTAATTATAGCACACTTTACAATGGCCAGCAATTTGTATCGTCAATAATCATGCATGATATCTAAATATTGCTATTTCGAATACATTAATGAAGGAATTAAATATTTAAGAGTGTATTATATCTATTTTTAATTTATATATTTAAAATGTAAACATTATAAAAAATTCACAAATTATTTTAGATCGCATTTTTTTAAAATGACACAAAAGAATTTAGTGGCATTTTTAGAACCTGGATAAAAAAATTATTTAAATGGCTAAGTAGAAATATGTTCTAATAAAAACATAATTAAGAAATAAAACAAAAAAAATCTCAATTTTCTTTATACAAGTATTTTAAGTATTGAAGATTATTTATGTAAAATTTTATTGCAAAGAATAATTGTTCCGTAAATAAAAATTTAATTTTTATTTTCAGAACAACTAATCGCAATGAAACTTTACATAAATAATTTTAAATACTTGTATAAAAAAATTTAAATTTTTATTATTTCTTAATTACACTTCCATTAAAGCACATTTCTATTTTATATTTAAATAATTTCAGTTTTTAAATTGCAAAATCTTTTGTATTACTTTTAAATACGATTTATCTCTAATCACATTCTATAATCTCTTTATATTTTCATTGTAAATAAAAATAGATGTAATATATCTTTAATTTTCTTTCAGCCAATTATTTCGCAACATGAAATATCATTCATTATATTCCATGTTATTTATTATCGCTAGTATCATTTATTATTACATTTGTCAAAGCTAAACCACCTGGGCATTGTTCTAGTCATAATACAGGTTACCTGACTGTGACGTGCTGTCCATGAATATTCTCTAATTAAATTATGATTTTATTTGATCATAGAAATCCTATTGATCATAGAAATCCTATTGATCATAGAAATAGAATGTTAAACACATTATTATTGGTATATAGTGCGAAATTATGATTTAAAAATATATATAATTATAACGTGCAATCAACTTTACATAGATGCAAACACACAATTATATCTTACAATTATTCGTTTATATTGCCCATCGATCGGAATTATTATATGGAGTATCAAGTATCATGCTTACGATTTATGATCCGTGATTATCCGTTACAAAAGATTTTCTCTTGCGAGTCACGGTCAACGCGACTGGCAAATACAAACACATTCGAGCACACTAGGTCAGAGCGGTAATGAGTCGCACGTCTCGATATAGGGGCGATTGCCAAATGTAATAGTGCCGCGTTTCATAACGTTGTAGGGGGAGACAATTCTATACATGCGTTATAATTGGTGGCGAATAGTCAAAAGCAGTGGTGTAGTCAGTCGAAGGAGCCGTTGATTTATTTTAATCCTTCGCCCAATTCTACTTTCTTTAAATTTTAAGTTTCTATTGTTAGTCATTTTATGTATTGAAAATATTTAAGTTTATTTACTTGGTATTTTAGCTTAGGTGGACACAACACTGCTCTTAGTACTACGACCACCAATTTCACAATGGAGCGAACAATGTATTAATTATTATTGCCGTTACCGTGATACCGCGTAACGTATTTATCAAGAATTTGTATTGCGCAATTTTCGTCTCTTTTCAAGTCTATTTACGTTGCATTAAATAATACTTATATTCAATTCTGAGAAAAGTAACGTTTTTTATATTTGCAAATTTGTCTCTTTCTCCTTCTAAATAAATTATTTAGAAAGATACGGAATAAATATGAAGAATAATATATTCTAAAAAAATGCAAATATATATACATGCATATATACTTGAAATAATGAATATATACATGAAAAATAAGATAAAGTTTATTATTGATTTCTGATTGTTTAGTTACATATAAAGTTAAAAAAGAATTTAGAATTTAATATTTTATCAATATCTAATAACTTCTGGTTTCTCATATCGATGTGCCTGAAATTGAAAATGAATCTTATCTATACAGTAATCCTTCGTGCAAAGTGATTAGATTAAAATATGTACGATATTAAAGTTGGGTCGAGGCAACGAATTATTATCTATAGATATATTATCTATAGAAGAATATTATATGTATAATTTTGTTATAAATATTAATATAAATTAATATTAATTAATATATATAAATATATATATATATATATATTAATTAATATTAATTTTAATATTAAGTTTTTTTCTTTTGAATAAAGTTAAAGAAACATTTAAAGCGAAACTAATTTCAAGAAACCGAGAACTTCACGAAGAACTTCACGAGACTGTTATGTGTATATATTATTACTAAACAGACTTTTAAGATCTGGAAGATTGCCAGCTCACCATATGAATATTTAGACAGTAGAGCTTAATGAGTTAACAATCACAGTGCAAACTTCTGTGCCATTACAAACCACGGTTCTCAATGAAATAGTTTCATCGCATGTAGTTCTCAATTAAAATGAAATTCACGGATACTTCTTGAAGTTCTACATCGATTTTATTCTCTACACGATTTTTGAAAAATTCATCATTATTAAAAATCGTGGGAATGAGTTTTCCTATCAAATATGGCATACACAATTTGGAAAAGTTCTCGTCGGTCTGAAAATTAATGACGTCATTATCACGATATAATGAAGGCCGCTAGCCTTCTCGATGATCTCGCATTGTTCGTAATGACTAATGAAGTGATTAACGAGTGTCCTTGATGAATTTCCGCAAGTGTCTCCAGGCCAGGTGAAGAGCGACATGGTGTATAATTTTGGGCAATCTATCACTTCCGAAACCTGTCCCTTTCGAGATGGTTGCTGTCATCATCCCATCTGAAGATCATAAATATGTCAAGCATCATTAACTGCAAACTATCGAATAAGAAATTGCAACTATTAATTTATATCGCTATATTTATACCGCTATAAAAACAGAGCTTTTCTCTATTTTTATAGCAGTATTCCATTTTCGCGTAGAATTTCCTGCAGCCTCATCCCGCATTAAAATCCTTCGCGTTATTTTATTTTTGTCTATTTACCCCGAGTTTTTACACAACTTCACGTATTTCTGAACAACATCCGCGAATTCTAAACTTGTCGCGTGCAACAACTCCGGTTAAAACCGATAATAACTCGGAATAGCCGCACACTTCGTAAAAGTTTTGCATTGTAAAGATGGGATAAATGTCTTCACGAGCCCCGTTGCGAGTTTCTAGAGTCGAGAGAGGGAAACTCCCGTTCAACTCGATACCGGAGCAAATCAATAGTTAGGCGTCGCGTCTCTCGATCATCGTCGTGTGCTGTGTATAGGAAATGGAATGCCTCGTTAGCCGAGCTAGCAGTTGGATGAAATACAAAACAAATCTCGTTCAGGGAGTTTATTATCTCGTCCTCTAATCCCTCGGGAAATCTCAATTTCTGACATTGTATTTCTCGAATTTTTCGAAAATTTCCGCGAGTATTCATAATAAAATTGCTCGTGCGCAGGCTTAGTTCATATATATATTATTCAAACATACTGACGGAACATTTTTCACGAGTATCGATAATAAATAAAACTGGTCACGCTTCAGGATTTTAAATTTAATGCGTAATACCGATAGCTTTTTCCTTGCGTTGACATTTTACAATATTCATATGCTTGATAATAAAATAATATATTGTTACTTAATGTTAAAAAATAAAACGCTGACACACTGATGAATGCTAAATTTATGAAAGTTAGGTGTAAGGTCATAAAATATTCGTGATTTCAAGTGTTACTCTTGAATATAAATTGTTTAAAGAACTTGAGAGAGATACTTCTTTATACAAAGAACCCATCGATAATATAAGTAAGTAAGCGTGAAAGTCTGTCTATCTCTCTCTCTCTCTCTCTCTCTCTCTCTCTCTCTCTCTCTCTCTCTCCCTCTCTCTCTCGCCTCTTTTTTCATTTCTCGCTTTCTTTCTCTTTACGAGAGGATCGATTGCACCTTGTATCTTAAATTTCTTATACGCCAGCATACGTCGCGGTAGCGCAGACTGCTATAGTACCATAAATGATCGACTCTTACTACTGCGAATGCACACGCCGCATTTCTCCGAGCGCCGCGAGTTGGCTGAGAAAGTGGCATTATCTCCTTGCACCCCCGAGCGACGCAAGTTATATCCGCGTGCAAACTTTCGACTTTTTCAAGCGTGGACAATTCGGCTCGGTAATTATAGTCGACCCATGAATACAAAAAAAATATTTTGAAAAAAATTTCAAACAATTTTTGTGAAATTTTGAAGTCACTGGCGTCGATTTAATAAAAAAGAAATGACATTAACGCAAAAGTCGAAATGATTAAATAATTATGAGATAAACTTCAGCGTACGAAAATATGGCTGTGAAATGACGTTAATATTAATTATTCAAGCCCACAATGGAAATATATCCGTATGAGGCGTAATGAATTTCCACTACGCCAATCAGATTCTATTTCCAATAATGAGATTTTATCGAAGCGAGATTTAAATCCTTTTTGTAATTGTTTTGATATCTAGATATAATACAAGTATGATAGCTTTTATTTTTCGTACTATATATTTAAATTTTATAGGTTTTATTGATCGGCTCAAAAGGTATTCTCAATTAAATGCTGGGTATAATACGTTTAAATTTTTATTAAAATATTTTGTGACTATATGATTATACCGTGTCCTCCTCGTTATTGAGCAAACTCGGTTGCTTCGATAATTGCTTAGATAATTAGAATACTGGTGTCCCTCAGGATCGATAGTAATCCCGGTGCACGGCGTGAACTTTCGGCACGGCCGACTCGTTGCAGGCGCAACGAGAAGCTAAGTATAACATTGACAAAACAGAAAGAACGAAGTAGAATATGCATGCATACATGCACGCACGCACACACTTGTGTTCGTGGATAGAGGCTACGTCGCGTGGTTATTACGTAAGCTCTTACAGCACATTTTCCACCGAACGTCGAACCTAATGCGAGTAGTCTATTTTAGAAAACGCGTAAGGCAAATTGTGAAACACAGCGGAATTCAGGAAATGCAAAGGCTAAATTAATACCATCTATCTTAATTCTTTATAGACTAGAAAGCTGGGACAACAAGAAAGATTACGTCAATGCAAAAATGTCTAAAAGAAATCCTGCTTTTCTTTGCCAATCAAATCATTTCTTCCTGGCTGAAAATTAGAAATTTTTTCTAAGATTACAAAATAATAAATGTTAGTATATCAGAATTATCATATATTATTATTAGAGAGCGAAGAGGAAGGGTGAGATTTTATGATGTTCAAATTATTTATAGGATTGATTAAAAAGTTTATTTTTTGTTTATTTGTTAATGTGAAAGTTACATGGAAAAGAAACGAACGCGCGTAATGTATTATAAGACATTAATCGATAAAAGAGTTCAAGCGGAAAAATAATCGATATACAGATTATAAAAACGTTGGAATTAATTATCTTTCGCTAATGAAAAGGATGTATTATCAATCGATCCGTTCATTACTTCATGCTTTAACCGACTTGTCATATCGTGAAACCAATCATCCGTCTAATTATCTCATCCCAATTAAACTGCTACAGGCATCAAATTGAGTCGTTAATGCAGGAAGGATAAAAGGATATCTTACCCTTACGTAACTAATTGAATTTAATCGAAGGACGTTTGCTCTCCTTGAAATAAAAAGCAAGGCTATCGAAAACACGTCGTTACATAAGGCTTTCTGCTTTTCCGCTCGCATCAGCGTGCCATTTCGTGGGTATATACAGAATCCGCAATAATAATAAACGATGAAAAAAATAGCAACTCTTCCCCC